ATATATATATATATATATATCTACATGCCTTACATGTTGAACTGTTAGTTAAAGGGAAAGGAACACATAGTTATTTAAATGCATCTATATTATTATTCTGTAGAAAATCAGAACTTTATCGCCATATCCAATTGTCTCAATGCAAGCGTATGACGAACAAACAGAAGAAACAAAAGCGTCGGCTGTTTAAAGAGCTACATAAAGCAGAAAAAGACAAATGCATCAACACCACAAACAACGAAAATATCGCCATAATTTATATGAACGGGTATAAAAATGCAGGTTCTACTTTCCATTGTATGCTCATACAATGGAAAGTGCCTACCCAGAGGTAGGTTGGTTTATACAGTACACTCAAAGATAATAGACAAAGGAAATGGAGAACATGAATCCCTTTAAGTCGCAACAACAAAGAAACCCAAAATATAAACGTAGGAGTTTCATACATTGATTGCATGAAGGCGAACCAAACCATGCAACAGCTAGAAGTTCTTCCCCTTACAACCCACATTTATGAATGAATGCATGCACCATAATCCATCGGTAAGAAAAAAAGAAACAAATCTACAGAAAAACCACCACCAATACTCCTATAAAGAAAACGACGTACATTAATTGCCTCGGCGAGAAAACATGCAGCGGTCAGGAGATCGGTCGCTCCCACCCTTACCATGAGTAGCACGCCCGTAACACTGCAGAAATAAGTGCATGCACCAAATTGAGAGAAACCACGAAGAAATACAAAGACGGAAAAAAGGAACGAAAACCGACACCTATCGAGAACACTAGAATATGCGGCTGAGCCAAGGGAAATAGGAGAATAGGGCTACCCGGAGGATGCTAAACATGCACCACCAGTGAAAAACAAGGAAGACACAGAACACAAACGAAACAACCTTAAAAATCTACAAATTCAAATATACAGATATGAATACATTGATGGCATGAGCGCGAACGCAACATGCCGCTATCAGAAATTCTGCAGTTGGCACCCCCATATGGAGGCCCATAGCCCATTACAGACAGCTGAGTGCAGTGCTCTGCTCCGGACTACGACAGGGTGATGGACGAGCCACCCCGAGCGCCTGCCAGGTAAGTTTAATTGATATGTTCGCTAGGGGTCCCACCCTGTGGTCGTTTGAACGGCGAATAAGCAACTCACTTGCCGGCATTTTTCGACGAATACACACACCATTCAAATTATTTACCTTTGATTCAATTATTTAATGCATTTTTAATCCTTATTTTTATGCTTTTTTAAAGATATTCTCCGCGCAAACGTCAATCCACAAGCATACACCTGCCATGCTAGGTGCCAGGTGCTTGCCCCACAGCCGACACCTCGCGCTTTGGGAACACATGAACGAACACACGTGTATTTTTCTTCATTTTTCAATTATTAATACAATTAATCGAATATTGCCGCTGGTTTCGGCTGGTTTTCGGTGTAAATACACCCAGAGATGTGCACTGGCGCTCTCGTGCCGCAGCGCAGCGTTCCGGCAGTTCATTAAAAACTTCATTTCTCTAAAAGATGTAAAGGTGCTGCTTCTGGAAAGGGCATTAGGCCTCAGAGGATGGAGGGGAGAAAGGGAGGTGTATGTGCGCCGCAATTAGTACTACAGCAGCGTATGAGGTGACGATCGGCGAGACACTCGAAATGACTTCTTTTTTTTCTGGCCGAACCTGGGATCGCCTCCCAGTCGTTCCGACGATGAACACCCGCAGCATGCGCTCCTCTCTGCTGCTGCTGCTGTTCCTCGTCTTTGTTCAGCTGCTGCTGCTCTCTGGCCGCCTCGCCTGGGGTGTATCTACAGCCAGTAGCAAACCCTCGTCGATTGCACTCATTTTGGAAAGGGGCCAGAGTGCGCTTAAACGCTGCAAACGACAACTGCTAGAAAGACCCTTTGCTCCGCTTGCTGCTGGCTTGCAACACCAACCCTTTCCTTGCTCTTCTGTTGATGTGCGTGCTGCTGAAGATCAACAAGAAAAAGCAGGAGAGGCGTGTAACGGCTACCGAGAGGACCAACAGGGTCTCTCTGCTTTTCTAACACCCGCAGACGCCACTGCATACAAAGAGTTTAAATATGCAATGAGCAGATCCTTCAACTCCCCGGTGTACACTGGAAGTAGACAGCAAGTGAATTGCACAAATGCTCAAGGAAGAAGAGAAGGATTGTGTTTGCAAGGATGGCAAGGAGATAAGACGATCGGCCTCAGTTGTACATACACCGAAAGAAAGTCTGCAGTCTTCGCTGCAAATGGTGCAGGGCATCTCGCGCGAATTCCACTCTCTACCAAACAGCTGAAGAGAAGGTCCGTCTCTAGAGTTTAGCGTTTAGGGGCAGCTAAAGGCTTCTGCAACCATGCAGGTTCATGTGCATGCTTAGTGTATCTCGCCGTAAGCTACAAAATGCCCAACTGCTTCCTCTTGGCGTTGGAGCGTGCCTACACCTGGCCTATGGGTGATCGTTTGCACTGTGGCAACGATGAGGCTCTTGTTTCGCTTTAGGGTTGCGATTTGGCTTCAGAGAACAAGCGGAGAAACGAACAGCTGAGACGTCTCGCGTTAAAGAAAGAGAGGAAGAAGAAGACAAAGAGGGGCCGGAAAAACGGCGAAAGAGGATTAAAGATTGGCGTGTGGTGTTGCACAACGACGACATTCACACGTGAGCAGATTGCGGTGTATGGGCATGCACCCCAACAGGCCATATCTTATACTTAGGAAGCCGTTAAAGTGTTCAAAGTAGCAATACCCATTGTCATTATTTTCTTTTATTACTTTTATGAGTTGTTGTTTGCGTCAGTGCTGTGCAGATTCGAATGCGTAGAAAACGCCATCACAAAGGTACTGCCGCACATCAGCCGGGCTAGGGCTTATGATATTGCGCTGCATGCACATACAAACTTGAAGGCGACAATTATGCTGACTTGGGAAGAGAAAGCAACGGAAGTCGCCTTGGGTGAGATGCCCATCTATACGCGCTTTTGTTGCTGAGGCTGTTTGCATGCACCATAGAACGTAATATGATATATAATATATATATATATATATATATATATATACGTAGTTAGAGTGCACCAGCAAATTTCTACTGCTTTAAGGGGGTTGCTTGGTTGTTCGTTGCATTTGCTGCACTGAACGAAGTATGCGAACTCTTCGGGAGGCAAAGGCGACTTCATTTAAATTAGAGCAGACGGGGATTTTGTGCTTGTCGTTTTTCTGCATGCACAGTTTTATGTTGTGTATTCGTATGCCAGTATTGTTTGAGTCATTTAGCTATGATGTGTATGCAATTGTCCAGGTTTTATAGTGGAAATGCATCAGAAGCTGCATCAGGGCCCCGGCATACTTTTGTTTCTTAAGATAATTTTCGTTGCGCCTGTTTGTGTGATGATGTGGTAACAGCGCTGCAAAAGGAAGGGCTTACGGTGTCTGTACTGCCGGACAAGTTGTTCAGAAAACAAGAGGAGCAGAAAGAGTAGATGAGGACCGCCAGAAGAAGAGGGTTTAGGGTTTATGGTTTGCTGTTTGTCTTGCATGCATTGTATTCGGAGGTTCTTGTTGGTTTGATGTTTGTTTGTCTTTCTTAAATGATTCTAGACAATTCATTTGTCTTCGTCGTTGTCTATTGAGTAAATGCTGCCCTCCTTTGCATAAACAACAACTGCTTCTAAGAGCGGCCCTTCAGTCTCAGCTACCAAACGTAAGTAGATATGCATACATCTTTATATATATAGGTGTATATACTCTGAGGTGTATGCACATATATAATACAAGCCCCAGTGCACCGGTTCTACAGCTTGTAGGTACATCGCACGTTCATGACTGCGTCTAAAGCCCTTCTACTCCCCAACTCAGGCTGAGGTATGCATACTATTTATTATATATATGTAGTATATATTGTAAATTATGTACTGTATATAGTACTTCTATTTGGAGGGCAAACAAAACCTAGAAATTGCAACGGAGTTGACGGACAAATTTGAATGCAGATCTTTTTGCTCTTCTCTTTTAACGGGGCCTCCTTCATCAAATGAATTAATTGCTTCTCTTTTTGAGGTTTATTCAACAGAATTTCTTTACTAACTTCACTCTACTGATTTCTTTCTTTATCTCCTGAATGAGGGACGCCCTAGTACAACAGCGAGACACACCAACCCTCCTTCACTTCGGGTCTTGCATCTCCCGACAGTTGTGCATGCACTTTTGATTATTTATGGTGTTTCTTGGCGAGTAAAGAAACTGTCTTTTGTTCTTGTTCTAAAGCTAACTGTTTGCTGTATGCATTGAAGGGCCAGGAGATTTTCTAGCCAGAACCACGACGACTCCAAAGAGAGGAAAACTGTTTCTTCAGCTGCAGGCGCACCAGCATAAATATCATATATGTTGTACATAGTATATGCATATATATGTATATATATTTGCAAAAATGAATAGATGCATAAGCATCTATATATACATTTGCGCATTTACCTATCTTTCAATAGCATTGTTTCGTTAATACGGTCTTAACGATTCGTTTCTACCTTTTGTACTTCTCACCTGATTCAGCCCTGACGTTCTGCCTCCCTGCATTTCACCGCCGTTTCCAAATCGCCTATAATACAAACAAAAAGAGCACAAACTGTTTGTACACCGTAACGCCTTTTACGAGGAAAGTCGCGGCAAATGCTGTTCTTCAGAGACCACACATGAAAATGAAAACCAGCATCTCGAGAGGAGATCATTACTTATATCCAACTCCGTTTTAGATGGCAGCCCTGGCTGCTGTTTGCCTCATGCATGATGCTGCATGCCATTAAAGTACTGTTTGTTGCATTTCGTGTCAAGTTTTGTGAGTGGTGCATCTTATAGTACGAGAGGCGCACCTGCTGAGGATCACCTCGGCATCTCCAAGGGATTCCTGCAGCTCACTTCGTTCCAGTACTGCAACGACGCAACCGCCAGGAGCAGCAGCAACAATCGAAACATCAGAAGGCGTATCATGCAGCAGGGCCAGCGCGTTGATGTTGTCGCCTGCAGCAGCCCAAAAGGACAGCAGCATGAATAGCGCAGCAACAAATAAAAAGAGGGGATAGAACGAGGAGCAAACGGTTGCTGTTTCCAAGCCTCCACAACGTTTAATAGGAAACAAAATACGTCGTGTACACCCCAGCTTTCTATTCAACGTGCTAGCTCTAGCTTCACTAGCTACCCTTCTTTCTGAAGTAGATGAACACACGCATGCACGCATATTTGCATGAGATTGCACGCGAACATGCATGTATGCATGCGTGTTAGCATGAAAGTTTGTCTTTCAACTTCTCTTTTACCAGGGCCAAATTCGTCTACGACGTCAGGATTACCCTGGCGCTCCACGAAACGAACCGCACGTGCGCAGCCTGCGCCACAAAAAACAAGAAAAGTGCTGAACCCTAAACCTGAAACCCTAAACAAACAAAAGTCGCGTGTGAAAGCAGATCGCATGAGACCGGCAGAAGGCCAGGAAGGTTTCCGCGTGTCTGTCTCCACAAATGAAATGAACATGCAGCAACCTTGCAGCCCGAAAGAACGAGCCTCCCCTTTTAATTCTGTCTTAAAAGTAAGAACACGAAAAGATGTACCGTGAACGACAAGCAGCACGGAGCTGCAGATCTCTCCTTGAAAGCATAGGACTTCGTCAGGGAGATAAATCCTCCACTTCATTAGCGTCGCAATTTGGACTCTTTCTCTCCTATTATACAAACGAACAAGCAAGCAGAACAACTCGTATCAAAGCATATAACATCAGCATGCCACTCATGTTCGCTTTTCAAGCAGCAAAGAAGTGAACAACCCCGTTGAGGTGTACGTCCTTCTACCTTGTCAAGGAATCCAAAATAGGACAATGATTAAGGTAGTTCATGACCTGAGAGGCCCTTCGGAAGATGCATGCTGCACAATCACCGCAAGAAGAAGCAACAAAGCAGGTTAGACGATTTGTGCAAAAGTCCCCGCCTTGTATCGCACACAATGCTAGTTCCTAAACCCGAATTCCCTAAACCCGCTCCTCCCTGTGCCTTCAGATGATTCAGCCCTAAACCTTAAACCAAAAACTCTCCAGGATGCCAGCGTTTGCAACTCTGCTTACCACTGATGATTTGCTGAAACGAGTGGAAGCTGAGTTTCTGCAGCGTGCAGGGCCTCAGAGCCATGATGGAGTGGTTGGTTTGCGCTTCTCTAACAAATCCTCGAGGCAAGACGAAGGCTCCGGGTCTGATTTTGACTGGAAACTTGTTTTGAGGAACTTCCGCATCATAGCTACTGCGCCGGCGTGCACTGGAGTATGCTGGAGGTGTCAGTGCAGCTTCGGAGCTTGTTTGGTGTTCTGTTCTGTTTTCTACCGCATTGGGTCCTGTCATACCGAGCTCGCCAGACACTAGAAAGTACAAAGTGTCCACCTTTTCGCCTCGCTGCACCAACATGCAGCCCTTGGGTATCTGCACGAAGCTGTTCACCATCAAATGCGCGCAGTGTTGCCGTTCTTCTGGCTCCAGAAGAGCAAAGATACTGCTGCTCATGACAGCAGCAGTCAGGTCGGGTTGGCCGTTGGAGAGAAAGAGCTCAATGCGGTCGTCTTCATCTATGATTCCTGCAGTGGAAGGCCTCCTAAACTCAGCAGCAGCAAACACCCTTTCGAAAGCAGCAGCCCTGCTGCCAGACTTCCTGCCGTACTTACGCGAAGCCCCTGCCGGGTAGTGGACAGACGAGGCGATTACGGTGTCGCTGCTGCGGCGCTTAGAAGAAACTGTTGCTGCTGCTCCTGCTTCTGCTGCTTCTTCTGCTTGAAACGATGGATCTGCCGAGGCGATCGTCAAACTCTCAACTCCCGACCGGAAATCAGAAGGGGAGCCAACAGACAAAGAAGGGAAAGGCACGAGAGGGCCCGCTGCAGCCCGGGTGGCTGTAACATGTTCTGCCTGATATTCCATTGCTTTGTGTCTGTCACCATCTGATGCAGTTGATCTCATCAACATTTCCACTTCTTCAAGTTCGTCTTCGTTGGAATTTGAATCCGTATTGCCGAACTGAGGCGAGTGTTCCTTCTGCTCGGACGAGTCAGAGGGGAATTTGTTCGCCTCCATTTCTGTTGAAAGAGGAGGAACATGTTTAGAAAGCGAAGATGAGCTTTGAAGCCCCTCTCTTTTCTTTGTTCCCTCCTCTGCCCGATGGTCTGGAGACGCCCGGCGGAAGGACTCTGCAAGAGAAAATGCAGGCGAGGCCTCTCCGCCTACTCCCCTACCAACCGCTGTCAAGGTAAGGTGAGTGGCGGTTCTGCTGAGACGCCCTGGGGATTCTGTTCCTGCTGCTGACTCCTGCTGCTGCATCGCACCTGGAGAAGCGGGTTGGCTGCTGCAGTTGCTGATGATGCTGCTGCCTTCGGACCTGCTGGATGCGCAGACCATCATTGAATACGCTGCGCTGGCGGTGCCCGGAGAGGCGGAGGGTTCGAAGCCTTTTTGCCCTTCACTATCGCTTTCAAAGATATTCGGAATGGTGGCTAAGACAGAACTCTGACTGCCCACTTGCACCCAATGAACTTCTTGTGCTTCTGAGGCTGCCTCCGGTTCCCCTGCTTTGCTCACAGGTTCTAGTAGTGGCTGTGCAGGTTCAGCGTTCTTGCTCCCTTTCTTGCTGCTGTGGGACAAAGAAAAAGCACTCCTTAGCTTGCTGTACATACTCTTCTTCTTCCGGCTGCCTCTGCGAGACGCCCCGGCCCCCGCTGCATTCTTCGATTTCCTCCGCTTCGGCGTCTCTGCATCCTCCCTTGAGAATTCACGTAATTTTTCGTCCTCTGCATTTTGTGTTTCAGTGGTGTAGTGCGGCTCTGCTTCCTTCGCTGGAGAGGCTGCGACAGCCAAAGAGGGAGTTGAAGGGGTCTGGCGTTCGTCTCTCTCCAATGTCAACGAGGAAGGGGAAGAAAGCGCATGCAATGGGAGCCCAGGCAAGTCGTGCGTACTTTGTTCTGCGTTGGTTTGCTGCGAGGTAGCAAGCGCCAGACGTTCGCCGCTGCTGCCTTCTTTGGACGCACGCAAAGGGAGCTTATCGAGAAGCCCTGGGGAGGAATGACCGTGCTTTAAAGCAAGCAGATCCTCCTGTTCAGGCAGACCGTCAACAGAACCCCGTCGTCGTGTTGCGGAGTGCTGCAGCGTTTCTGCTGCTGCAGCGGCTGCACCGTGAGCTGCTCCCTTTGGCCTTCTGGGAGTGGAGGGACGAGAAGACACGCCGAAGAGGCGGCCGACAAAAGACTTTGAGGGGGTCCTAGAGACTCGCGTGTCTGTTTCCTGCACTTCTGCTAGGGGAGAAGTTGGGTTTTGGGGTATGTTAAGGTCAGCACGTGTCTGAGGTAGAAGATGACCAGAAGCAGGGGAGCCTTTCGTATTAGCTGATTGTTTCGTCTTCTCATACACTTCACGCATTGCCTGTAGCCGCTGTCGTTCTGCCTTAATTTCCTCTTTTTCCGTCTCCAGTTGCTTCTTCTCCTCTGCAAGTTTGTGCTTGCATGCCGCTATCTCGTCTGCTGTCGGCAGCAAATCATGAAGTAGCTGACCGATATTTTCGGCTGAGTCCCACTGCGCTTCAATGGCTGCTAATTTTTTGTTGTCTGAGTCGAAGGCCGCGGAAAGCTGCTCGAGGGAGTGCGTGAGACCTTGTCGCTTCGCACTAAGTTGGGTCTGTCTAAAAGAGAGTTTATGTTCAAGAGTTTTAGCCTCCTCTTCCAGAAGCGCCAAGGCCGCCTCTAACTGACAGCACTCCCTTTCTAGGGTTTCGTAGCCATCCTTTCCCTCCATGGCATCCTCAAATCGCCTCGTGATTTTTCCAGCTCTTTCCATTTGGTGTTTCAGCAAACGGATGTGCGCTGTTGCATCAGACGGCCGGGCGTTGAACTCCTCCAGTGTTCGACTGAAATGTCTGTATGCCGGGTTTCCAACGACGCGCAAGACAGACGCCCTCATGTCTTCCGCATGCATCAACGCGATTTCGGCCTCCCGGCCACTCCTGAGGCGAAGCGTTTCAACAACCGCCCCGGCCCCTTCAAACCCCCCCTCCACTTCCTCTTTCTTCTTTCCCTCCTCCGCAGCGACTGCATGCAGCCCTTCAACCCCCTGCAAGTCTCGCATAAACGCTGTAGCAGCATGCGTTACATAAAAAGCCTGCATTTCGACTGTCCTTCCCCACCATAATTGTTTGAGTCGCAAGCGGACGGCCTCTTGAATGTCACGTTGCTTCTCCTTGATCATCTCCTGCAACGACCCATGTCGTGCATGCAACTTGGAGTACATAAAGGCATCCCTCCATTGCCACTTCATCGCGTCTACAAGCCATTGTTCAAATACGCGAAAGCTGCCGAAACCACCCTCTCCCGGGGTGCCAGAGGGCTCTTCCCCCCACAGTTGAGATTCGTACCGTTTGATTTCCGCCTCAGTTGCCACAAGAGCCAGGCCAGGAGGCACCGTATTGACGCAACTTTTTCGCGGGAGGCACTGTTGCAGAGTTACGGGAGTGAATAGTTGAGATGTCTTTACACCTGAAGGGCCATTTGAAGCCTCCGCGTCCTTTTGAACACTCTCCTGCTCATACCTCTTCTCTGAGAAAGACGGCAAATTCAGTGCATACAGTTGTAGACGCGCTATGAAGGGCGGCAGGCGGCCAAACGCCAGCTGATGATTCGCGGCCCAACTGCTGTTGCCTTTAGAGCGCAGCTCAGCCCCTAGACGCATGCGTTTCTGCTCCAGGTTGTTGATCTCATGCTTCCCGTAAAGCGTTTCCAGAGATGGCAGTGTTTCAAACTCTGCAAAGACCTCCGCGACAGTAGTTGTTATGCGGTCCATCAGAAGCTGTACATTTTGATTCAGACGAATACACTCCTCGTGGTAGTTCAGAAGCACTTCATCCCTTGTTGAACGAACCTGCACACAGGCAAACCTGCAAACGCATGAAACCTTGGCTTGTGAACGCAAGCATTCTGAGGAGGAGGTGTTGCGCCTGTGCCTTGCTTTTTAATTCATTTGCCTAGAATGAGACTCTGTAGCAAAACGGTCAGGTAATCTTCTCCTCCAGCTAACCCGTGCATAAAGGGCCTCTAGACAGTTTCGGTTTTGGCGTAGGGCGCCGCGTGGCTCCTGCCAGGCCTGCATCTGTTTTTCTTCTCCCTGCAGCAGAATGAACCAAGGGAAAGCAGAGGTCGACTAAGATGCGCAGAGGTGTCAAATATGCAAGCAGTAAACAGGTCATTGTTTTGGTTGGCTTTCGACGCAGACATATCTATATAAGCGCTGGACTGAGTGGAAAGGAGAAGATGGAGAAAAAACGCCGTGTTCCATCGTACGGAAAACTGAAGGAAAAGCATAGGTTTCTGGAGTCTGCGTGGATCTAGTCTAACCTGCAGATCATGTTGAACTGCGGTGTCTGAATACGCGGCATATTTAATCCCAAGCATGATATTCTTGACTGTGGCTATCATTTGCTGCAGTTCCCCGATAACGAGTTGTTCACCGTGGTACTTCATTTGGCTGAAGACCCTTTCATCTTCTTCATCCATCTTCTGCCTTGCTGCTGCAAGCATTTCAGCTACTCCCTGGGCAGCATCGGCTGAGTCTTCTTGCTGCCGTTGTTTCTGCTGTTGTTGTTGCTGCTGCTGCCTTTGTTGTTGCTGGTGCTGCTCGCTCTGCTGTATGCTTCGTATGTTCTTTTCTAACTCATCCAAATGAGTGGCTACTGCTTCCAAGGCTCCCCCACAAAGCGACATGACACCTGAAGCAGCTCCACCTCCTTCTCGTTCAAATTTTCCCAGCCAGTCAGCAGCAGAAAAATCTGGAAGTGCGTCGAGGCTGGCCAAAGGCAGGGCCGGAAGTCCGCTGACGGCGTCAGATAGAAGAGGCGCTGCTGCAGCAGCAAGCAGAGATGGGGACCCTTTGCACCTCTTTATGGGCACAAACAGACGGGGGAAAAGAAAATACGGGCCAGCAAACAAACAAAAAGAGGAGATAGAGATGGTTTTTTTGCCGTGTATACACCAGGGTCCGAACAGCTTCACTACCCCAAACAGCAGCAGCATCCGCAATCAAGGCAACTAAAGAGACAAATGGGCTTCTTACTGGGTACTTCGGCAGCCTCTCCTTCAGCAGGCCGAACCCTCTCGTCTTGTTTTTTTGAATGGCGGCTGCTGCGGCTTCGGTGTCTGCTGAAACTCCTCGTTAAGAAGCTGCCAATACGGCTGAGTCCCGTGGAGCTCCCGATCCTTTTTGATTTCCCCCCCTGTGTCTCTTTCTCCGCACTGTTCGCATCTTTTAATTGGGGCAATTCCTCGCCTGCCATATCTAACACCGCACACACGCCACGCAGAACCAATGCAGACGCATGACCAAACTCCTCGCACAGAACGCAGCCAGCATAACACAAAAAAGCAGGATCTTCAACATCAACCACAGAAGGATGGTTCTGAGACAAACCTCTTAAGAGATAGCGCACGGCTCTTGCGAAGAGTTTCGGTACACTACAGACACCTCAAGCACTCAAAGTGTACGCATACGTGCACCGCCCTGTTGCTTCTCTATTTGATTCTCATCGTTTTTGGGAGAGTTTGTACAGATGCCGCGTTACAACTGGCCATTGGTATTGGAGATACAAGGCCTGGCAGATGGCCTGCAGATGTCTAAATCGTGCCGCATGCGTCCCCAGATGCTGCAGAGATCCGAGGTGTGTGGTGTGTCTGCTGCTGTTGCTGAGTGTACACGCACTTCTGTGGCAGGCGGCTTCTTCGTGGTGAGTTGCAGCGATCAAGTCGCCTGGGTCACTGCGGGCACTCCTGCTGCTGAGTAGCGGAGGGTAGTCGTCGATGCTTGCGATGCTTGCATTCAGCATACTGCTTGCATGCAGCCTGCTGCTTGCACTCAACATACTTTCAGCGCGATGCATGCTGTTTGAATGCACCATACTGTTAGCATGCAGCGTACTCAGGGACTGTGCTGTGTGGGCCCGTCGCATGCCTGCGGCTGTCTCGTCGTCGTGTGCATTTTCGCGGATTTCATCTTTGAGTTGGGCTCTGCTGGAGACCGATCTAAACATCGCTGCGAGTGAATGATCTCTTTTGCTGGGGGCTGCGGTATATGCGTCGTTGTCTGCTGCTGGCTGAGATGTACAGACAATGCCGTTCTCCGCACGGCGATCCTCTCTCGGAGTTCCGCTAACTTCCCTTGATCCAAACCTTTTGACGCTGCTCTGCCGAACCCAACCCAAAACACCTCTGCTGCTGCTTCTTTCCGCCCCAGACATTGTCTTTGCAGCTTCGGCTTCCTCTCCTCTTAGGCCTCTCATGGTGTATGCAGACCTGTGGTGGTCCAGGACCGACCACCGCGTCAGAGTGCCGAGGATGTGACGCTATTTCACTAATTCCATCCCTAAAGGACCAAATGTGAAGAAACAAGTTTATTATTTGCTGGCAGATTTATAAACTGTTTCACGTCAAATCAGCGGAAGAAGGTCCGCTGCACATGCAGCGGCGTCCGCGTCTAACCTGTGGCCAGGCGAGGAGCCCCTAGGACTCAATCCGTATCTCGAAAGGCGGTTTAAATGTTCCTTAATTGATTTTCTCCTCAGAAGCATCCTTTTTAACTCTTCAGTTCAGCTAGTTCGGATATATGAACTGACTACTGCCTTGAAAGACGCCACGCCGACGCCTCCTCTCGCGCGTCCGGTTCCGGGTAACAGAAAAGAGCGTCCGTCTTCTCTGTCTTCCCAACCCTCACATTTTACTGATTATGTTTCACCCTTAACTGTTCGTTCGTATTCTTCTCTAGTTTAATTTCCATCGCTTTGTGTCTTAAGGTGCACGTGCAATAGAGGGCAATGCACTGGGCTTTGTTTGCCCCGCTGCGGTCGGCTGCATCCATGATTCAGATGAAAGCAAGGACTTGAGTTTGTTTTGGTCTTTTTCGTGTTTTCAGTGAGTAGGATAATGCGGGAAATACACCAAAGTGAGGTTTGTTGGCAGATCGAAGCGGCGTACTCGTTGCACAATCGAGTTCGTCTTCTGCATCTCGAGTCAGGCAGAAAGAGGGTTCTGCATGTGTCACAATTATGAGAAAGCGGAATCATACGAACATTCACCAGGCCACCTCTGCTGCACATGCACCTGAGAGGGGAGGATTGGCATTGGAGGTGACGGACATGGTGGGTGATGGAACAGCATAACAAGCAATATTTGGTGCTTCCCACTTTCTGTCGCATAAAGATGAGATTCCTCAGAAGAGCATCAAACGAGAAGGCTTATAACTGTTCTCAAATAACAAATTTATTTAGAGAAAAGAATAAGCAAGAGTGCACTTATGCAATTGTTGCATGCGTGGCATGCAGCAAATGTTTGAGTATTCGCTTCTGAGACACCTTTTCGTCTTCCTCCGCATTAAGTCTCAAGAAAGTCATTTCCTGCTTCTTTTCATTTTCCCCCTCATTCTTTTATTTACCTACTGCAATTTAAGCGCGCCTCCGCATCACAACTTCTGATTTCGTTTCTTTTTCTGCACGACAAAATCGTGGGCGCCGCTGTTCAAGTATCTAATTTCTTGTGCTTCAGCGTTTGCATTTGCAGAAGAGTTGTAACCCGACAGCCAGCTGCAGCGAACCTTGGCTTTAACTTTTGGATTCATTTTTTTAAACATGTTGGGACTCTCAGCTGTGCTCGTTGCGTTTGTGCAAGACATGATTCTGCACAGTTTGCTCTTTCTCTTCCTCTGCCGATCTGGCTTCTCTCTGGGGTATTTTCGGTGGATAGTTTCCTGAGACTTAGCCATACTGGCTTATTATTGTTCTAAAAACAAAACATGAAGGAGAAGGGAACTCAACCTCGATGCACGCGGGCACCGACCAATGACTGCATGTATTTTTAAGTATTTGTGCTTGTAAACGAGCTACACAAAAATAGAACGTTTGATTGGAAGTACAAGTTGATAACGGCTTCAGATTATTTCATCCACTTGCACTATGGAAATGATTTGTGCTCTACAGAAAAGAGAAGTTGCAGCGATTGTCTTCTTACCCTTCGCACCGAGTTCCTCCAGTCTGTTTGATAGTGACAATGACGACGACGATGATGAAAAAAAAATATATAAAGATTATTATTATTACGTGGAAGGTAATCATCATAAGCCTAATAATTACTATGACTTATTGGTGGTAACGGTGTAATTTGTGGGAGTAGTAGACAGTCCCAAGAAGAGATCCTCCCTGCGCGGGTCTGCTGAGACTGCACTGCACCTCCTCACGATGCGATAGTAGCCAGCAACATGCAAGTTGAATATACGTAAGAAATAAGGTAATCCTCCTGCACCCGTATCTTTGAACGCGTAATTCTTGTTTACTCAAATTGCAAGTCTTCCTCTCTGCTACTGCACACTTGCCTGTCTTTAATACTGCTCCCTGGAAAGTAAAGGAGCACTGAAGGGGAAGTAAGTAAGAAATCGCCGTTAAACACACACAACTGCACGCACGCTTCCATATATACATGCACGCGTGCGCCGGCTCCCTGAGGCCCGCAGTGCGAGCGTTGCAGTGTCGAGACAATCTACCAGAGAGCAATGACCTGCAGCAAGGACTAATTATTCGCAATGCATTATATATACTGCAGAACCCTAATCTTATACTGCAAGGTTGAACCGCTCCCTGGTCCCACTAGGCGTCGGCCTGCGTGCAAGGCGCTCTTGCAACGGAGGAGGAGAACCCCTTGGCACAGGATCTGCTTCACTTATATTTGTTGTCAGTGTGCGCCCGGTTTGTCGTGGTGTGGAGTTTGCCCAGAAGCTAATGGGAGCTTGAGACGCGACGAATGACGCTGGCTGCTGGCTTCCAGTGCAATACAAATCCACCCCAGGTGGTGGCATGAATCAGGAATAGAAGCTGGGCCTACCAATACTGCAGAGACACAATGTGCTGCTGCTGCTGCTCATTAACTGCCTCCTCTGCATAACTGTGGATCAGTCCGTCGCTAGGATTTAGCTGAACCCTATGCCCTACAGGCTAAAGACAGGCGCTGGGCGGCAGTTGGAGGGGCCCCTTGGCCAATCAAATCTGAGGCAAGAAAGGTAACTAAGGCGATCTGTTCAAGTGTTTGAAGCAGAAGCGCATCACGTAGTCCTCCTAACAGCAATAGTCCTCCCAAATGACGCAGAGCCGCCGACCCCTTTTACACTGACAACACTTCACTTAGTTGAGGAGCGTTTCTGAATATTTTTTTCTGAACTTTTCATGCTTCCCCCCGCATATCTGTTAGCCATGCGATGCTGCATCGGCCCCAAGTACGGTGGACACAGCAGACCTTCCTGCTCGTGCACAGACTCGGGATGGCACAGAAAAGTTGCGCCTCAGCACGCAGTGCTTCTGCAGAACTGCAGCATTGCAAAGGATATGAAAGCGGTGAGGAGCGAGGGAAAAGTGCAGAAAACCCTCGGATCTATTCAAAGGCCACCAAGCCGGAGTCGGGCGGGTGTACGTACAGTTGGAAAGCTGCACAGTGGCAGTAGAAAGCAGCGTATTTGAAGCATGATGATGAATGCAAAGATTGCCAATTATAATTTAGAGAAAAAATAATCGAAATTGCAACACTTCTTTTTGCAACAGTGACCGCTCAAGAGGCCCCTGCAGCCCCCGACGTACTTGGATGTTGCTAGAGGTCGCTCTGTTCGTCGGGGAAGCTGTGTTTGTGGCGCTTCCTCTTTGCACGGGCTTTTGAGTTATTCAATTATTTCTTCCTTTGGAGGGGAAATAAAGAAGTGTTTTGTTTATCGAGGGGGAGGAGTGAAGGAAGAAGAAAGAGTGAAAAAGAAGGGCGTGTTGGTCCCCGTCTCTCATTTGCTTCACCTGGTTTGCTCACTCTTCCTTTCATCTCTTTATAACCCTTTTGTTAAAAGTTCTTCGAGGTATTCAACTACAACAAGCCAGTGATCGGCGCTTCAGTTTCGTCTCTCCAGGTCCCGGGGTACATACACCTCGATTTGCCGTCAGATCGAGTGGCTGTCAGCATTTCAACTGAATAGCACGGGTTTCGCGTTTCTCTCTTGTTTCGTCATTCGTAACTACCTTTTAGTAATAGTTGGTGTTCTTCGTAAGCTGTTCATCCCCAACTGGCGCCTAGACAGGGTTTCGTCTTGCTTTCTTCTCTCACCAGCATGAGGTCTTAACGAAAAAACCATGAGAGATGGGGGCCCCGATATGCAATGGACAGGCTGCCTCCTCTGTGCGTCCTCGCCGAACCTCTAGCGGAACACAAGCCGATGAACACGACACCGCATGCTTCCTTCTAGCTGCAGCAGCAGCAGCTGCACAGGACAAGAAAGCGCAGCAGGATCCTTGTAGACTGGAGTGCAGCAGCCGCTTACTGCTAAAGTACACTCTCCTTGCTCTTCTTCTTTGCTCTTGCCTCTGCGCCGGATATATACTGGGCACCCTCTACCCTCCTAGAACGAAAGAAGTGAGTTGATTGATGCGCCGGGCTGGTCATGTACCTCATATTCAGTCTGTATCTACCTCATATGCAGTCTCTGCCGCTTCTTGCAGAACATATATGGGAACCGCCCAATTTTGCATTCAAATTGAACACCCTATTTATCTTGCGTTTTCCTTGCTCCTGCTGCTGCTGCTTTGCGGTAGCAGGACACGTCTTTTACCTTCTCAGAATGGGCTCATGCGCATCGCCGTCTCTCTGCTGCTGGTGGCGATGGCAGCGGAGGCAATGAAGAGTCTGGTTCGTTGGAGGGGATAAAGGAAGAGAAAGGGGAGAGCAAAGGGGAGTCCCCAAAGGGGCCCCGGGACCCCCAGCCATCCCCATCTGAGGAGATGAACGAAGGAGCAAGCAGCGACACGCAGTTGGTGGCTGTTGCGCCTTCTTCGCCCCCATCCTCTCCAGCCATCACGCCTTCACCCACCAGCAGCAGCAGCAAACAAGACCCACCTGCTGGCTCTGAAAGCGCAGCTGCTTCCGCTCAAACAACTGTAGTTGATGGGGAGAAAGATGCAAAAGAAGTTTCTCCAGTATCTCCCGTTCAGCCAGCCCCTCCTACTGTGGGCAACAGCACAGGCGGAAGGGGGACCAGCCGCAAGCAGCGCCGCAGAAAGAGGAAAGCAGAACTTATAAATGGTATGTTGAACACTGTGTGTAACACATGGTATGCATCTGTCTGAAGGTATCTTGAGCATTGTGCGCTTGACGTAGTATATGTATTTTATAGAATGCGTATTATATATATATATATATATATATATATATATATATTACATATATATCAAAATTTTAAACATATATATACACGCACATTAATATACGTATATAGAATGTACTCATTTTATATACGTACTATATCCGTATATTATATATATGCATATATATAATGTGTATTTCTATACTATATATATGCGGGGGTATGCCGAACGTCGTCGGCGCTTGATTCACTGCGTGTATGTATTTGTATTGTGCTGAGTTCGCTTGCCAAGTTCTCCGTCTGTGCTTGAAAGCTTTGTGCTCAGAATGTGCACTGGCTGTTTCCCCGTCATTTGCTCTTTTTCTGTTTTCCTTTTTGAGTTGAGCCCGGAAAAAATTTGTTGTTTGTCTTTTCGCGTCTACAGGCCCGGACCCTCACACATACCGCAAGGAGTTGTGTACGATGCTGAGGATGGACACGACGCTGCAGGCTTGGTATGCACTAGTGGTGCTGTATGTGGCGGAGTGGCCAACGTACGCGCGCCACGGCACCGGAGGGGACGCTTACTTGTGTTATCTGAAGAGGTTGGCGGAGAAATTCGAAGTTCCGAGGCACGCAGCAGTGCAGGTGCAGATGCTGTATGCAGAGGAACTCTCCTGCGGCACGCCTTCTTTTTTCCTAGAGGGAGTAAGTCTCAGTGGCAGGGGGGAAAGGGTATAATAAACAAACAATAGCGAATTACATAAAAAACCAACATGCAGCTAGAGAACAGCAATGCACGATGCTGAAAAGGTGAGGCAGAGACAGAGGTCGCTCGTATGAATGGACGGGTACATCTTTAAACGCGGTACAAAGCAGGCGTATTTTCGGACGTTTATTTTGCTGTCCTGTTGGCATCTTGCAAATGACGTTCTCGTCAATCATGCTATTTATGGATTCATCTGGCCTAATCGCTGCTCTTCGTTAGGGGGGGGGG